GGGTATAATCCCCTTAGGGGATTGGGAAAATATCAACAAGGTAGGTTACATCCTGTACAGCCTTTAGAGAATCTAGAAAGGACAGAGCTAGGATATCAGGCTGCACAACATTTTCAGTAGGGGCTCTGGTCCAACAAATTAAACACTCACCTTTCAAACATGCAGCCAGATCACTCTCAACAGATCCAGTCTGGGTGGACCAGTGGCCTTTGACAGGAGAGAAATTGGCTGGAGCCACAGCTCTGGTGGAGGAACAATTAAAGGCAGGGCATATTGTGCCTACCCATAGCCTTTGGAATACTCCAATTTTTCTGATTCGAAAAAAGTCAGGAAGATGAGGCTCTTACAGGATTTAAGAGTGGTCAACAGAGTAATGCAGCCAATGGGAGTACTCCAGCCTGGCCTCCCCTCACCCACAGCTATTCCATTAGACTATTGTCTCTGCATTCTTGATCATAAAGTTTTGTTTTGTTTTGTTTTTTTACCATTCCTCTCCATTCAAAAGACAGAGAAAAATTTGCTTTCACTTTATCATCACCAAATCATCAGGGCCCTGGGCACGGATTTCATTGTTTGTGCTGCCCCAAGGCATGGCTAACAGTCCCACTATGTGTCAGGAATTTGTTGCTGCAGCAATGGAACCTACACACCATAAGTATCCAAAAGCTTATGTCCTTCCTTATATGAATGCTATTCTGATAAGTCATCCCAGTGAGTCTATATTTCTACTAATCTTGGTGTGAACCCACCTTTATCCTTGTTTTGTCAGCCATTTGAGCTCACATTCTAATCTCCCTGGCCCACTCACTGACAGTAATGCCTGGGCAAATAACCTAGTCTCTGGGCTCACCTTGGACTTGCCCATGCAAACTGCTGCACCTGTAGAAGCTGCCCAACTGTCATGCTTTGTACCATCAAAATGCTTCAGCCTTCTGTAGGCAATTTCACTTTACCAGGGAGCAGGCTCAACAAATCATTAAATCATGTCAGCAGTGTGTCACATGTTTGTCACAAGTGCCTAAGGGAGTTAACCCCTGGGGCCTTCAGCCTGGAATCTTGTGGCAGATGGATGTCACTTGTGTTCCCTCCTTTGGCTGGCAGTGTTATGCTCATGTGTCAGAGGACACTTATTCAGGTTATAGCTATGCCTGTGCACATGCTGATGAGGCCACTAAGCATGTCATCACTCATTATTTGATTGCCTTTACCACCATGGGTAAACCCCCACAGCTCAAGACCTACAATGACCCTGCATATATTTCAACTGCTTTTCAGCAGTTCTATGAGGCCTATCAGATACATCACAACACTGGTATTCCTTATTATCATCAAGGGCAGGCCATAGTGGAACACGCACATGCCACTCTCAAAATGCAACTTAAAAAATTAAAAGGGGGCGATGAGGTACTTCCCTCAGCTAACCAATTGCATAAAGCTTTATATACCCTTATTTTTTGAACTGCCCAGACAGGGTTTAACACCCACTGAAAGGCATTGGCAACCACAGGAGCTGACTGTCAGGCCTCAGTTTCTTTGGAAAAATGTGTTGACTGGCAAATGGCACAGTCCTAGTCCTGTCCTGATGTGGGGTCGAGAGCATGCTTGTGTTTTTCCTGAAGATTCAGAACACCTAGTGTGGGTACCATTGTGATTTGTCAAGTCTCATGGATGGACCCCTCCCCCCCTACCCTGTCCCAAAGACAAGGAGGCTGAGACTGGAAAACTTGACCTGGAACATGGAACCACTGACACTGACTCCTCTGCCAACCAGAGGGTGGCCAAGAAAATGGCCGCTAGCGAGATAGATGAGGAACAGTGAACCACCCACCTGGGGTCAAATGAAGAAGCTAATGGACATTGGACATGACAATGATGGTAACCAGTAATCTGGGAATGGTTGGGAATCTAGCAGCCACATTGCTGGCAGCATTGGTCAAAATTATGATACAGGTGGGTGTTGTCCAGGGTGATGCACACTGGACTTTCATGCCTAACCCACCAATGGTGCATCCTATCACTTGGTAGAGCCACCTTGTGTCTATCTTTACTGATGATACAGAGCACGTGGGAGGTCATTCCTCAGGACATTTGGTGCCTCAATACAGTGACAATAACTTTACAGGTAAAGGTCATCTTATGGGCACATGGGAATGAAGCAAATGATATTGTAGACTTGTGGCAATTAATGCAACAAATATTGGCCATACAAAAGGCTTATGATAATGTTGTTTCTCCAGCTAATATTGCAAAAACTATACTGGCTTAATTCAAGGGTTTCAGTCCATTTAACTTGCTAAATCACTCCTTCTAGTATTTGGCAAGAACAGGTGTGTTATTGTTTATCTGTTTTATTGTTCTTTCAGTCAGATGCCACATGGTGCAAAGACAACTCCTTGGATTGGGGGACAGGCCTCATCAGGAGCATTTAAGAAATAAAAAAGAGGGAGATGTAGAGAGCAGAGTGTGAGAAGCCTATGAGAACTTGACATAAGCACAGCTATGCCCAGTGATCTGCAGGCTGAGTTGGCACAGCCCCAGCCATAAAAGAGAGCAAGCACAATAATCTGGAGGCTGAATTGGCACAGCTCCAGCCACAGAAGAGGGTGAGGGCAAAATGCAACACAGCTGTTTTTCCTAAGATGTTTCTGTTCAGAGAGTGGTGATCACAGGTTCCTCCTTTTCCCAAGGATTACAGTGTCACACCCACCCCCAGAACTGTTGGTCCACCTCCTTGTGTGCCACTGTATGTGATAAACTTGCTGGAGCTGCAGGGAGCTGTTGTGTGTCTCCATCCAAGTGCCCAGCCCACCTGACCCCAGCTTTTTGCATGTTTGTCATCTTCTTTTGTCCTTTCTGCATCTTCATTCACCCCCAGTTATATTCATAGGACAAACTCACGCGGTTGTGAGACTGCTTTGTGATGGCTCTTCCTTGGGAAGAAATGTGAACAGATCACTCCTAAAGTGATTTCAAGGAGATGTGGGGTAAGTTGGGTACAAATGTCACATCCCTTCCACCAGGCAGGCGCCCACCATGGGAGGAGACAACTTTTGATGATAACTCTGCTCTCATTTGTTCTGTTTTTCTTTTTGGCAGTACTAGGATTTGACTTAGGACTCACACTCGGTAGGCAAACACTCTACCACTTGAGCCACATTCCCAGCCTTTTTTTTAGTCAATTTTCTGATAAGGTCTTGAGTTTTTGTTCAGGCTAGCCTAGACCACAATCTTCCTACCTGTGCCTCCCACAGCTAGGACCACAGGCATGTACCACCATGCTTGGCTTCTTGGTTGGGATGGGGATCTCAATAACTTTTTGCCCACGCTGGCCTTGAACCTCAATCCTCTTCATCTCTGCCTCCCACGTGGCTGGAATTATATATGTGAGCCATCAAGATGGGCTTTTCTTTGGTTTTTGTTCTTTGTTTTGGCATCACTGGGGTTTGAACTCAGGACTTCACACTTGCTAAGTGGGCATTCTTACCACTTGAGCCACTCAGCCAGCCCCAAATTACATTTTTTTTTGGCAGCACTGGGATTTGGACTCAGGGACTCACACTTGTTAGGCTTGCTAGGCTCCACCAGCCCTTCTCCTTTGTCCCCTGTGACAGTGGGTATGGGATAGCACAGTTTCCCTGTGTATCATGTAATTTGTGTACCTGTGTGGGCATGTATGTGTAGGTCTGGGTCAGTAGGAGCATGGGTGTGTACTTGGGGCGGGGGTATAGATGTAAATTTGTACATGTGTACCTGTTCTGTGTCAGTATGAGCATGGGTGTGCACCCTGGGCAGCGACACAGATATGTGTCTTCGTGTGTAGACATGTGTGTAGGTATGTGTGTAAGGATGAGCACTGTGCAGGTACATGTCCTGTGGGTAGGTGTCTCTGTTTCAGTATGGGCTTGGGTGTGCACATTGGACTGGGGCATAGGTGCATGTATGTGTGGGGGACATGCTTATGAGTAGGTGTGTTTCTGTGTTCTGGTGACAGTGTGGAAATGTGGCTGGGTACAGGCAGCTGTAAAGAAAACTGGGTGGGAGTGTCAGATGAGCCCCTGCCTCCATGTTACTGGTCTCCCATGGGGCCACTCCAAATTCAATTGATCATTTAGGGAAACTCTTGACCCATCCCTCACAGGGTTCTGCTCACTGTGCTCACCTCTACTCTCCTTTGGGTTCCCCGGGAGCCTTCACTACATGTCTCTTCATGGCATGCTTCAGAAAAACACACCAAAAGGCCTTCTAGTCATTATCCTAACAGCCCATAGAGCAGGCACCAACACAGCTGTGCCAGCTTCACTCATGGCTCTTCCTCCTATCCTTGGGCATGGAGCTTGGATTCCCATGGGATCTGATCTTGCTGAGACTGAGTCTTCAGACAGAAAGGTCTGCATGTGCTGCCTCAGGAAACCTCACGTCTTTCCTCCTCTGCCCTCCAAAACATGGATTTGGTGACACTCTGGTGTCACCAGCTTCCAAAGTGAGGCTCTCTGGCTTTGCATTTTTCTACCTGGTCCCCCTGTTCCTTTATCATATTGTCTGGAATAAGTGTCCAGGATCCAGGCCAGGGAGAGGGCTTCCCAGGAAGCCTTCTCTTCTTCATGGAACTTCCTACTTCCCATGACCCACCTGGCCATGCTCTGCTTTCTGGGATCCAATGTCCCTACATCTCCATCACTTCCTGTCCCCCAGACCTCCTATGGCCCCTGCTCAAGTGAGCTCAGTGGCCAGGCTTTCACCAAGACAGTGTTGCTGGGGCCACAGAGGGTATATGTCCTGAAGGAGAAGCCACAACAGAGAAGTGTGTGTGTTATGCAAAAAGAATGGAAGAAGGTGGGAGTGAGGTCGCTGATCATTGCAGTGTCCCCACAGCAGGAAGGAGGAGGAGGAAGAGAGCAGTGGGTGTCACACAGTCTGCTCTTAAATCTGCCCGGGGTCATTGTGATCCTACTGAGAGGGCAAGGAGCACATGCTTCCTGTTCTTTTCCAACTGAGGAACAATGGGCAGACATTGGCAGGCCCCACATCTCCTGTTGGCCATTCTGGTGGCTTTGGTGTCTTTCACCTACCAAGCAAGGAGGAAAACCTTTATAAGAGTCCAAGAGGAAAATGCAGTAGAAACCCAAGTGAAGGACACCTTGCAGTATGCCACCGACATGTACAATAAGGACAGCGATGACAAGTACAACTTCCGGATTCTACGCATCCTGAAAATTGAGAAGCAGGTCAGTGGGTGGCTTCTCTCCTCTCTCCTCACCACACCTCTGCATCCAGAGACCACTGGTGCTCCAGAGAAAGTCCCACTCCACTGAAAGCTAACTTCCCGCAGAGCAGGAATTTTAGAAGAAATACACATTTCACTAGATTGAATGAAGTTGTCCTTACATGATCCCAAGATCTGGAGTGGCAAATTACATGTCAAAGGCCAAGACCACCTGCTGCCTAGTTTTATAAGCAATGCTTTGGGGCCCAGAGACTGCATCTGTGCTGCCAAGTTGAGATTTTGCAGCACAGACTGTGTGGCTCACAGAACCTAAGATGTTTACTCTCTAGCCCTGTGCAGGAAAAGCTTACAAACCTCTCCCTGGAACCCTTAGCCTTTTTTGGGTGAGTCAAGGTGTAGCTTGGCCCATGGCCAAAAATGGCATTTCTGGTTATTTTGGTGAATTCTCTGTGAATGACACAATGAGGCACAGTGTGAGGGACTTTTCAAATGTAGAAGCTACAGTGAAGAGGGAAGATGTCACTCTACATCTCTTTGCCTCTTACCATTCACAGGTGACTGATCACATGGAGTACCACATCACCGTGGAGATGCAGAGGACCACCTGCCTGAAGTCAGAGAGCAGCAACTGTGCAATTCAGAAAGGCGAGCTCCGCAAGGTACATTCACGTGGAGAAAACTCATTTTTAGTGGGTTTTTCTATGCTTTTAGGATGAAGTGGAGCAGAATTATTTGGGATTTATTCAAGCTTGATTGAAAAGAATGCATGGACAAGGACTCCTCTTTCAGAGAGAAAAGGTGCAGGTAGGAAGGGCTCAGTCATTCTCTTTGGTTGCTGGAAGGATTATGAGGAGGACTAAGGGGTTCAGAGGGAGGAGTGGAGTGACTGAGCTGCAGCAGGGAGGGAAGCAGTCAATTATTTTAGCAAGAGATGAGAATACAACATTGGAAATAATTCAACTCATCATAGGGCCAAGTAAAGGAAGAAATGAAATTTTTAAAACTGATGAGTAAAAAATGAAAAGGGGAAAACAGAGTTAGTAGTTCCCATCATGAATATGGACTGGGCACTCTATTTCTACTCTCCAAATCTGAAAACAGAAGGACATTTTTTGGAATGATCCCAGCAATATTACTGTGGAATGATCCCAGCAATATTACTGTCAAGTGACTGGAGCCAAATAACAAACTAGCTCTGGATAGAGGGCTGACAAGGTGTTGTCATTTACCCCATCCTCATATTTTATGTCCTCTTTCTTCTCCCTTACATGTAAATTTCATGTTGCATTTTAGCCTTCTTAAATATTAGCTTTGGGTGTTTTGTTGTTTTATTTTAGCAAATCCAGTGCTACTTCTCAGTATTTGCTATACCCTGGTTTGAAAAGTACAAAGTTCTGAAAAAGAACTGCAGCGATGGCTGAGTGTTGTGGAGCCCACACCTGTGGTCACTGTGTTTGAGACTATGCTGCAACCGATGGTAATCCTTGATGCAGAAATAAATATTCATCAGTCTTTTATTTTATTGATCTCCATGCTGCGGTTTCCCTCCTTTCCCCGCCTAAATTCTTCAGCTCATGAGATAATGAGGAGGTCTGCTGGGGCAGGGTAGTTTGAGAATCCAAGTGAGATGATATGAATTATTTCTGGCCTTATCACCAACACCTGTATGATAGCAGAGCTTAGTGTTTATCCTCATATCAAGTAGGAGAATTTAGATTTTAAGATAAAATGGAAAATATGAGAAGATTAAGGAGGAGGGAAGATGCTCCAAGTAACTCAACTGAACTGTCAAGAGATATTTGCAAGTGTGTTCTATGATGGAATCTCTGAGCCCAGTGAAGATCAGACCTTTCCTCACTCGAGGTGTGAAACAAGGAGAAAAGCACAAAGAACTAAGAAAGTTAAGGCCCTTGCTATTCATCAGAACTAGATCGAGAGATGTGCCTTAGTTTTTAGACAAGTGTGCTTTTTTAACACCAAATTCCAGAGCTGGAATTCTGCCCCCTGTACCAGCATCCCTGGATCACCATGAATTCTGAAGGATTCCCTCTCCTTGAGAAGCAAAGGAAAATATCTGCTCCCTGAGAGGAGGAGGAGGACACAGGTTACAGTGTCCAGTGTATTCTTCCCAGATAGGTCAGTCAGATTAATTCCAAAAGAGGAAGGACTGTGGCCAGAGACAAGCTAGGAATGCTGTATCAAAGGGGGCATACTTTATGTTGTATCCATTTCTGTTGCTATTAACACAATACCACAGCTTGGATAAGTTATAAAGAAAAGAAGTGTCTATTTTGGATCATGATTTCCATCCAAGGTTAGAGTATCATCTAGTAATGGCCTTCCTGCTAGTAAAGTCCAAAGCAGCACAGAACATTGCATGGTGAGAGACAAGGAGGCCAGCAGAGACCTAGCCCAACTGGCTTTTATAGCAGACACACTCTCAAGACTACCCACTAAATCACTAACTCATTAACCTATTAATTACCTGATCCACTTATGAGGGCAGAACACTAATCACCTCTTAAAGTCTCATCTGGTCACACCTCTTAATATCTCATAGTGGAGAGTAAATTTCAGCATAAGTGGTTTTTTTGGGGGGTGGGGAACAAGCCAGATTTAACCATAGAATTTTCCATGATGGAGATCAGCAGTGGGCATGTGTCCTCCCACTCAACAGCTTAATTACAGACTTCAAACAAAGTCACCAGACTCATTTCACTGCACGTCCTTGATGTGGCCTTGAGATTGCTGCCTGCAACTCACTGGGTCATGTCTGTTCTCATCAACATCCAGTACAAAGAGGAAGATCTCATGCCAAGACTTCAGCAAAAACCATGATGTTTAATACCATTTGCAAACTCTTTGGCCACTGTATCCCATACACACACACACACACACACACTCACACACTCCATTCATTTGTCTGGGGGCATATGGAGTTGTGTATTTATCCAATAGCTCTAGTCTATTTGCAGTATTTGCTAAGGGTGGCTCTCAGAAAACATTAATTCCCTAGCTTCTCTGGCCTACAGTGGCTGCACAGCAGAGCAATCCACAGAGAGTAAAGGAAACAAGTTATGCTAGAGCCTGGGAATCAAGCTGGATGCACAGGGAGGGCAAGGATGAGAGGACAGAGGCAGAGTAACAAAGGATCCTCCTCATATGTATGAGCTGTGAACAGAAATGCATACTATCCACCAGTTGGGAAGAGCTGGGAGCTTCCAGATAACAGACTAAAGTCTGTTTTAGGTCAACTTTCCTTCTCCCTACCACAATTGTGAAATGTTCAGGTCTATTTCAGAGGGGGCCCAGGTGGGTTTCTCTTCTGGCAACTGAGATCATGCTAACCTATAGCTTCCTTGTCTTTAAGAAAAATAGTACCTACTTCTTGGATTAGTTACAAAGTTAAAGGTGATAATGTTTATAACTTGCTCATCACCACTGTGCCTAACTCAAGGCAGGTATACAAATGAGTGTGCACTAGCAGTAGGAACACTGACAGAAGCCATGGTAGTGATTTAGTATTAACCAGCCATCAACACTCTTCCTGAATTTGGGATATTTTGTCCCCAAATCAGAGATTATTATCCTGTGAGAGAAAAAAAGGAAGCTGGTACATTTGTGCCCATTAATCTCTTAGATTTTCCAGTCAATGCTTGGATTCAAAAAAAACAAACTTCATTTTGAAATAATTTCTGTTTTCACAGAGAACTTGTTTATACCCTTTATCTGGTTTCTCCTGATGGTTTTATCTTATAGGAAAATGCAGCAACCAGGAAGTGGACATTGGTACAATGGATGTCATTTTGTCACATGCATAGCTTCATGTATCACCACCACAGTCAAAATATGCAGAACCGCTGTAACCCAGGGAGCCACACTGTCTGTGTCTTGAGTCTCATCTGGGCCATGTGTGCCCTGCCCTGCATATTCTGCCTGCTAATGCCAATCCTTCCTATTTGCTGATTAGACAAGCAAGGTGGGTGGGTGGGACAGGGAAAGTTCACTTTTAAAACTCCAAAGCAGGACTGGGGATATAACTCAGTGGTAGAGCACTTGCCTGGCTTACAGAGACTCAGGACTCCGTAACCAGCACCACAAAAAAAATCAAAAAGTTTAATAAAACATTACAAAAAGAACATAGTATCAGTATGAAACTATAAAAGTAAAAATAAAAACAGAACAATTAGTCTGGCCATGTAATAAATGAAAGATACAAAATAAGCACTTAGAGGATGAACAAGGCTTAAATCAATAAATTAGAAAGGCAACTGCAGGAAAAAGTTAAAAACATGAAAAAGTCTTGGACAAAAATAGCTAAAGGCAGAACACATGCATATCCTATTCTCAACTAATCCACTTAGGTGTATTTCCAACAGAAACATGTCTATGTCCACCGTTAGACATGCACACACATGCTTATTGCTAAAAGTAGATATTCTTAGATGCTGAAAACTAGCCAACAATGGTGGTTGTAATGGTGCTGTAATTCCAGCACTCAGGAAGCAGAAGCAGAAAGATCATAAGCTTAAGATCAGCCTGGGCTACATATCTCAAAAATAAATAGATGAGTGATTGATAGATAGATGACAGATAGATAGATAGATAGGTAGATAGTAGGTAGGTAGGTAGGTAGAAGATAAAAGAAGCTGAAAGCTACTCAAAAGTCCATTATCAGAGAATAGATAGCAATATATTTATGCAATAGAATAAAAGTGAATTTATTATCCTGTAATAAAAATGGAACTACAAGTATAAACAACAGCATAGATATATTGAATAAAAGAAGCAAGGAACAAGAGAATATATACTCTAGGATTCCATTTCTAAAACTTCAATAGCCTAGGCTAAGCACAGGTATTAGCATCTGGATAGAGGTTGCCTTTGGAGGCTCCTTGTTTGGATTGTGCAGGTAAAGTTGCCCGTCTCGTAGGACATTGTGATGATGGGATGAGACAGGAGAGAACAGCAGGCTTTGCATGGGGATTTCACCATCTTTCACTCTTTTCCTGTATGCTCCCTTCCCCTCCAGATCTCTTAGCAAATCTGAGGCTCTTATAGTCTCTCAAGTTGCCCTGAGCTGGTGGTGCTGGGGCCTGGGGAGGAGACCAGCAGTCAAGTGGCATGCTCAGTACCCTCCAGTTCCCCAGCCACACCCCACATGTGGCCTGGGTGCACCTCCTCCTGTGACTATGAGTCACAGCAGGACCATGGAGGGCAATGGCCATGTGGGCAGCTTGGTGGCTCACTACACTGCAGCGGCATTCTGGGGACCTGGAAGGTAAACCGTCTCCAAGCTGATAGAAACTTCCACCTAAGAAGAGGGCCTCAGTGGATCCAACAATGAGGTTTAGCTGAACACCTTTCTCCTTCCAGATCTGGAATGTGGCACATGCCAGGCAGAGGTGCCTCTGTGACCAGCCCAACAAAAGCCCTGGTACTGAGTCTCTAATGCATTCCCAGGGCTCTGTATTTCACAGGTGCCCTACAGGTTGCTGCTGAGGATTAAGCGCATCCCAGGTGGCTGCCCTAGGAGAGGATGCTGGACATTTCTGCATGTCTTCCCCTGCACTGCACCCACACACTTTTCCTTTTGCGGATTTTGCTCTGTCCTTTTGCTGTGATAAGTCACAGCCCTGATTAGGACTATGTGCTGAGTCCTATGAGACCCTCTGCAAGTCACTTAATCTGGGTTTGGTCTTGGGGATACCAGACACACTCACTGTGACATGGGAGCCAGATATGGGGCTCCCCTATGCTCAGGCCACAGGTCAGGGGTGTATCTAAATCCAGAAAAGCTGGAAATCCTGAAGAGTGGGGCTGAGGTAGAATGGTAACATTCCCTAAAGGGGTGTCAGCATTCTGCTCAAATTTCGCCAGTCCCTAAGTACCTCTGAATGTGTGTGTAGAAGTGTGCATGTGAGTGATGAGTTCGAGTTCATGTAAGTATGTGACAGTAAGAGTGAGAGTGAGAGTGTGTACAGTGTATCTACGTGTATGTGAGTAGGTACAGTGGGTGTGTGAGGGTGTTGATAGTGTTGTTGAGTATTGTTGAGTGCATTGTAAGGGAAAAAAGAATGTGTGTGTGTATACTGGGACCCTAATGAGGGACACAAGGTTGGTTAGAGTTTTATAACAGCCAGTGCACAGTGCAGCCATCTGAAGTCTCATTCAAGGTCTTTGTGCTCAGACATCTTTACAGGAATTGTCCCAGAGCTGATAATAGTCCATCCAGGGCACCGTGTATACCAAAGACGTGCAAACCAAAGTCTGTAGAGGAAGAAAGGAAACAGACAATCAGCTTTGGGGGAGAAATTTTTCAAAAGTGAACAAAAGTCTCCTGTCCCTCAGGCCCTGATAAACCCAGAGAGGATCTGCCCACAGTCACATAGTAGGAATCAGACGGCCAGCTGCCCAGCCACTTGGGACCCATGGCAGGTGCACCAAGGCAGGTTTGGGGTGACATTGAGGGGCATAATGACAGTGTCTCCCTCCTTCTACCCTTGCACCTACACCCAGGCACAAGGAGAGCTCTTCACATTTGCAAACTGGCCAGTGGCACCACTAAGAGACCAGGAAAAACAGAAAGGGACAGGCAGAACTGAGAAGACAAGGAGGAGACTGAACAAACCTGAACCTGGAGGGTGAGAGCCAAGATCAGAACAAGGGCCCTAAGGAGAAGGGTTCAGGGAATGGAGATCAGGAGACCTGAGACCTGGGTTCAGGGCTGGGTTGGCTCAGATGTCCAGACTGCTCAATCCAAGATCCTGCCTCACTCCCCTGCTGCTTTAGGAGGTGTCAGACAACCCTGGGGCTGGGCCTTGCTGGCCTGGACCTCACAGCTGGAAAAGCTGCAACATTCAATGAGTCCCAGAATGTTCATTCCTGGCCTGGTGTGGGTAACTCACGACTGTAATCCTAGCTACTTGGGAGGCTGAGATTGGGATGATCAAGGTTCGAGGCCAGCCCGGGGAAATTCTTCACCTGCTTTGCAAGCTCAAAGTCTTGAGTTCAAAATCTAGTCCCACACACACAAAAAAAGTTCACTCCCCACTTTTTGGTCTTGAGGCCTTCTCAGAGGACTCGTACCCCTACCCTTTTCAGCTTATTGTTCTGCAGGGAACAGGAAACATTTTTCACTTCATCCCTCTTGCATTTGGTCCTGGCAATCTTCACAGTGACCAAATACTCCACTCCTGTTGTCAGCTGTTGGGAAGCAATTGTACTGTTAGTTTCCACTCTGTACATCCAACAGCTTACCCTCGGAACTAAGGTTGAGATCAAACCCCCTGAGCCATGACCACCAAAAACACAGTTCTTTTTTTCCCCTCCCAATTGGACAAGTCTCATTGGCAATCAAGGTCCCTGACCAGCCCCATTCCCGTGTCCTGGACTGGCAGCCACAGGTCACTTTTCACCTGTTTCCCATCTATCCTCTGGACAAAGGAGGAGACAACAAGCTCAGTTGCCTAGCAACCACAGACCACTCCCAGGTGGTCACATGTGGTCTTCGTAATGCATAAAGGTAACATCTTGCCATGTCCTCATAGTCCTTGCAACCATTTTCTGTCTCCCTCCTCTCCTGCCTGGCCAACTAGAAGGAGGGAAGTTTAGCAACACACCTAAAAATGGGTTTGATAATTGATTTGGGGCATGTGCTCCAAAGTTACTGGCTCTGTGGCCTTGAGCAAATTACTTAGTAGCCTCAGTTTCTTCATAATCCACAAAGTCCAAATAATCCTTATGCTTGTTAGTGGAATTATTGTCTGGACTAAAGAAAAGCATCGTCTCACTTAATGCATAAGATACGTTTTGTAGATTTTTTAAATTACCAAGTATTAAATGTTTTAACAAAGCATCTGGAACATTAGTCTGGAACAGCTTTGGAGTTACAAGAGCCACAGACGAAGACAAGATTGTGCTGGAGATCTGGTTTTATCCCCTTGGAGCCCTCCCTGTTTCCTTCTGGGTTGTATGAGAAGGATGGAAGAGGATGTGGTAAATACATAAGCCATGGAGAACTCCAGTGAGGGCATTTCCCAAGGGTACACTTTGTCTTCTTTTACCCATGATCAAGCCTAAGGCCATGAAGACCCAAAAGAAGGAAGGATGGAAAAGGCCCTTGTGGACAGGGAAGCCCCACACGCAGAAGTAAAACTCTAGCAGAGAGTTTGCTGATTACTGTCCAAGGTCTGGAACTGAGCTGGCTTCCCAGGTGAATGTGTGGATTAGAGAGAGAGCTCTGCACTGGGGAGGGGAGAATCTCTGGGAAGCCCCCTGCTTCTTTGCATAACTCAGTGGATAAACCTAATGAGATGGCATGGTCCTGGGTATTGAAGGGGAGGGACAGAATGCCCTGCTCATGGGAGAAAGACTCCCCTGGAAAACCCCAAGAGAATCAGCCTAAAACTGCACTGGGAACCCAATACCCTCAGGATGCAGGTGCTCCTCTGCTGGTCATCACACCATTTTCCCCACCCCTGGCCTCCCCACATCCAATATTGGCATCTTACAGAGATGCACCAGGCACTGTCACACTAACTGACCACTAGCACAATGGACATAGAAAAAAAACCAAACCACTGGACTGGCCACACATTTTAGCTAACATTCTATTGTGCAAAGTATTTTCTTATTTACTGTAGCCTTGTTTTTTTTTTTTTTGTGGTACTGGGGCTTTAACTCAGGTCCTTCACCTTGAGCCACTCCACCAGCCCTATTTTTGTGAAGGGTTTCTCCAGATAGGGTCTCATGAACTATTTGCCCCAGCTGGCTTCAAACTGTGATCCTCCTAATCTCTGCCTCCTAAGTAGCTAGGATTACAGGCATGAGCCACCAGCACCCAGCTAGCCTTGATTATTAAATAAGAATAGGAATGGTCATAATAACAGCAAACATTTTTAGAAGTGCCCCTACATGAAAGCACTGTACTAAGTTCTTATCCTGACCCATTGTGTAGATGGGGAACTGAGGCTTGCAGTGTCTGGATAACACTTAACAGAGATCCCATAACTTGGAAAAACATAAATCTAGAAGGAAGACCTGGAGCCCAGACCCAGGTGTCCAACCATACCAGCCAGCTATACCCCTCTGTGTGGTATTGGGATGCCCAGAGACCTGTGTCCAAGATCTCCTAGCTGGGGCACACCCAAAAAGCAAACCCATCCTATCCCCTTACCATCTTGAATGGCATCAAAAGTTTGCTCATAAACTATTCTTTAACAGTTAACTGTTAATGATAACGAATTTATTCCACAAGACTGGTCTTAGCATTTCGTCGTTGTCCTCAGAAAGCAGATTCAAGAGAAAAAGTCAAATGAGAAGATTGCCATCTACTGGTAACAGTGCATAATTGACACAGAGACCCAAGAAAGTCTAGACTATGAGGAGATGCCTCTGTGTCATACTAATACTGCCTACCCCACTCACATGCCCTCCCCTCTTCCTGTTTTATCTTGCTTCAACTGCCTCCCCTTCTCTCTGGCTAGAGACATTTTCCCTGAGTCAATTATTTTTCCCAAACCTAGTGAAGATATAGTATTGTCTCTGTCCTAACTTAAATAATTTACTATCTGAACTTGACAGAACATTGGACCAATAAAAATGGTTTTCAAACAGCTTTTCTTTCCTCCATTGTCCCCCAATTGCTATATGTCATAAGAACATTATATGTAGAAGAAAAGAGGAAGTGACCTGGTTGAAGCTAGCCCTCACTCCCCTGCCACGATTCTTCCTTCCCAACAGACTTTCTGTTATTCCAAGTGTTTAGAACACAGAAAATCCAGTCAGATTTCACTACTCTGGACATTGAAAAAATATTGCAGGGCAGGAAGTATCTGCAAAGGATGTTTGCATTTTGCCAAAGAAGACCTTTAAAGAAAGCAAAATCATCCTTGCTTGCTGTCACTCTGGTAGGTCAAAATGAAAGGTTGTTCTTTCCAAAGGGAAAAAAAAGAGTAGAGAACCTCAGTGGACAAGTCTTTCACTTTTGACCAAAAGTAAAGGATCTAGGCTCACACAGGTCCTTAGACTAACCTATGAGAAGCAAGGCTAAGGTGACTGTGGGACCTGAGCAACCCTAAAATGGGTCCACTCTATTTGAAGTTATTCCTCACAGAGAGTCACCATCTCGTGGTCCTTCCAGCAGCCCTACCGAAATCCCCCTGTGTCTAAAAGGGTAAAAAGGAGGTCCCTACTAATGTCTAGAGAAACCAAGACACAAACCTGCACCTGACTTCCAATTAGCTCCTGGACTTGAAATAAGTAGGTGTCGTTGCTGGCATTGTTGTAGGATTGAATGAAGAAATCGAGTGTCGTGTTCATGTTTTTCGTGCTCATGGGCTTCTCCTGAAAGCCCGACCAGCCTTGAAAGCTAGCTAGGTTAGTCTCCATGACCAGGGCAAGCAGTAGAAGCAAGGGGATCCTCCAAGCACTAACCTCCATCTCTGCAGCTCCTGAAACCTTCTATCAGCTGCACCAGCCAGGGTGCATGATACCAGGCTGTGGTTCTCTTGCACTTCACAGCGGCAGCCCTCGCCAACACTGTCTCTCCTGGGAGATAGCTTGCCTGCATTTAAAGAGATTGAGGCCTCCCAACTTCATCCTTCCAAAGTTTTGATGAAGATCAGCCAAGGAAATATCTGAGAAGCCACTCCCCAGTCAGTGTTCCGCCCACTTACAACATCCATTCTGCTCTTTGGTAATCCAAGCAAGAGGAGTTTCTGAACACCTGCCAAGGTATGCCCCTCTCCATGCCCACACATCTAGCATGGAAGAAAACTTCAGAACAGACCCATACAGCACTATACAACAAGAGCTGGTGTAGTAGACAGAGGGGCACCATTGATGGGAATGGGTGAAGGCCTATAGAGAAAGTAATACTTTAACTGAAATATAAAGAATCTGCAATATAAAACACAGGGCAGTACTTTTCTACAGACCTGCCTTAGGTTGTAACTGCCCATCCAAGCCATCAACTCTCCCCTGTGCTTCCTCTAAAGAGAGATTCTCCTTACCTATCTGCCGCCCACCCACTTATTGCAAATTTCTGCCTGCTGGATCCCACGGTACCTGCAGGCCCTGATACTGTCTCTTGCTATCTTGTTGTGACACAGCAGAGCTTTGTGAGGTAAGCTTAGGCTCCCCATGAGAAATGAATAAGCTGTGAGCCTTATTTAGTAATTAACCCTGCAACACCTGAAAGCTAGGTATTGCTTGCACACAGAAGTCCATAAGAGCACCCCATTTTCAAAATATTTCTTAAGATGTGATCCAGCTCCAGAAAAAGAACAATAGTAGGATAATTAGGGAAATATAATAAAGTCTGTGGAGTAATTAATAGCATTGTGCATATGCTAACTTCCTAGTTTTCACTATTGTACTGTGATTATGATATGTTAACTTTTGGGGGAAATGAAGGACATAGGACAAGACTTTATACTATCTTTGCAACATTTTTAAGTATAAAATTATTTCAAAATAAAAGTTAAAATGTACAGAACTAACTAAATAAAAGTATTGGTCTGTGAGAAGCAACATGATATGGCAGGGTAAACATACATCTTTTTTAAGACATCTGCTAGGGACTCCGGGAGAGTCATTTAATGTCCCTGAGCCTAAATTCCTTCATCTATAACATGAGAATGGAAAAAGTACTCATGGATGACTAAGTGGTTGGAGGTAAAAGTCTGCTCCCATGTCAGGTATTGGTGGATGCTCAAAAATATCTTCTGTGTGATTCTTCCCTGACTCGTAACCTTAGAATCATGCCATCTCCATCATGACAATGTGACAGTCCTGCTAGGACCAATCATAACATCCACCCTTAACCCTAAAGACTGCCTTGCTAGGACTTGACCAGTCAGTAGATATGGAAGCTTTGGAATTTCCCAAGTCTGAGTAGCATATGGTCACTGCAGAGTAGATGTCTATGAATTGTGAGCAATATGTGAGACAGCTCAGAGCTGGACAACCTGTAAAACTGGGATGCATCTGTCAGACCAAGCACCTCAGAGAGCATTCAGGAGGCCAAGGTACGAGGATAGCGAGTCTGAGGCCAGCCTGGGCTACATAGTAAGTTCCTATATCAAAAGAAAACAATACCAAAAAACAGGATGCTGGAGGCTCACAAGGCTGGGATTGGGAGGATAGTGGTCCGAGGACATCCTGGGCAAATAGGTTGCAAGAACCCATCTCCAAAATAACCAGAGCAAAATGAACTGGTGATGTGACTCAGGCTGTAGAGAACTGGTGATGTGACTCAGGCTGTAGAGCATCTGACTCAGGCTGTAGAGCCCTGAGTTCAAACACCAGTCCCACCAAAAAAAGAAAAGAAAAGAAAAATAAGGGGAAACCTCCAGTGGGAAGTGAAGAAAGTAGAATTTTCCTAACTTCATGCTGTTTCCTACAAAGTTATCCTTTCCTTCATCCCATTGTCATTGACATCAATTCCATGAGTTCTGCATCTATGGATTCAACCAACTGCAGATAGACAATATTTTTGGCAAAAGTGTGTCTGTACCAAAAATTTTTAGATGTTTTTCTTAATGTTATTCCCTAAGCAATACTGAATAACAATTTACATACATTTATGTTAGGTTTTATAAGCGATCTAGAGTTGATTTAAAGTATGTGGAAGGAGAAGCATAGAGTTGATACAAATACTAGGCCATTTTATATGAGATTTTGGTATCTGCAGGGGGCCCTGGAACCAATTCCCATGGATACTGAGGGACAACTGTATTTTGCTGATAGATGTGGCATCAGGTCTGGGAGAAGGGTCATGTGTAATACTCTTCATGAGCTTACATCTGGCATCTGGAATGTTCTTTTCATAGAAGGGTAGGAGGTACAAATAAATTCTTACAAATGACAAGGCTGATCTTGTTTGGTTTCTCCCTCCCCTTCTATTTTTTTATGTAGCACTATTTCATAAATTCTTTTGTCCTCTAAATGGTACTGTTCTAGACAGGTTGCTGACCTAGATATAACCCATACAGGAAGTAAATTTATTTGAGACCTATTGTACTGCCAGGCATTCTTTCAAGGCTGACCTGGAAATGGTCAGCAATGTGTGACCTGCTTAAGTCTCCCCTGGTGTGGCTGTGGAGCAGCATCACACAGACTGCCAGTGGCAGCCCTCACTGCAACCTGAACCCTCAGTCCTGGAGCTGCAGACTGACCTGGCTGACCTTGGATGGAAATGCCCTGTGATCCTGCAGAGCAGGCCCGCAGCAGGTGTACAGATAGTCAACACAAAAAGGTGGTGCCACAGATGGCTTACACTGGCATTGCCCTTAACAAACCCGAGAATCGCAAGACTCAGAAAGAGTATTCTCACTGTCTATGGAGTGCTTCCTTCTCAGTATACAAGATGAGTAAGGAAGGCTGGTAGAGGAGCTAATGGTAGCCCACCTTTCATCAGATGTTTCATCAGATGTTTTCCACAATGAAAGGTGACTTATCAGCTCCAAATAAGCTACTCCATCTAAATATCCAGAAGGTCCTATTTTTCCCCCTTTTCTTCTTTTTTTAGTTTTCAAAAACTTTAACTGACACATAATTGTATATATTTTGGAGTAGAGTGAGATATTTTGACACATGTATACAATTTGTAATGATCAAATCACCCCACAACTCTTGCATTCTGCATGCCAGCAAAACCAGCATCATGTGGATGCAAAGGTCTGTCAACAGCTTGGGCAGAAACCTGACCCACTAAGACCATGGGAGCAGAGGCCTCTGAAGTGACTTGGCAGCTAAGCATGGTGAAAAGAATCCTGGGGAAATACTTTCCTAGGCTTCCGTTTTTGAGCTGAGTGCCCCAGAGTCACTCTCTTCTTGAAGAAAAGTCTTTCAACTAAGTTTATTCTCTCACAACCTTGAGCTTGGGATATGTGGGGTCTTGCCAATTCCTGAGATGCCCTCAAGACATCTTTCCTATCCTGGAAAAGTAGTTGGCTTCTTTTCAATGGTGCTAATCTCTTCAGAAATCATGCACTCCTTACCCCCATCTTTACACTGACTTTCTTGAACAAACTGTGAGTTTTTCAAGTCTTTCTGCTCTGCTTTCTGCTCCCAGTTCTCACTGTAAACCTGCCTAAAAGCAGCCAATAATAGCCATGTCACAGAGTAAATGCTAGCCTGCCTTGAAATTTCCTCCACCAGTTTAATTAGTCCATTGCCATTAAACTCTGCCTCCCACAAAGTCTCAGGACATAGACAAAATATAAGCAAATCCTTTACTAGTATGGAACATACATGACTTTTAGTCAAATTCCTGATAGAGTCTTTGATCCTGTCTGAAATCCCCTGAGCCTGGCCTTCACTGTCTGCTTTCCAGTTCTTCCCACCAGAATCTCCCATTAAGCTCCACATACAGTATTATAGGCTTCTCTAGCCCTAGCCCACATCTCAAAACTTTTCCAAATTCTTCCCACAAACCAATTCCAAAGTCTTAAAAACCACATGATCAGATTTAGTTACAGCAATGATCACTCCCTTCCCCAGGTACCAATTTTCTGTATTTGATACTTTCCTTGTAGCTATGACGAAAATACCTGACCAAAATAACTTAAAGGGAGGAATTATTTATTTTAGCTCACGATTTCAGAGGGTTCAGTCCAAGGATGCTTGGCCCATGTACTTGAGCAAAACATCAGGTGGTGGGAATGTGTGGTAGAGGAACTTCTTCATCTCCACGGCAACAGGAAGCAGAGAAAGGAAGGGACCAGGGACCAGACAGAACCTTCAAAGGCACACCCTCAGTGACCTATTTTCTTCAGCTAGGCCTCACCTCCTAAATTTTCCAGAACCTCCCAAAACAGTGCCACCAGCTAGGGACCATGTATTATACCCATGAGCCTGTGAGGGATATTTCATATCATTTTTAACATTCATAACATTCATATATATATACATATAATGTAATATTATTTAATAATAAAAAGAATAATGTCCTGCTGGGTCTGGTGGTACACACTTGTAATTCTAGCACTGGGGAGGCTAACACAGGAAGTTCTCAAGTTTAAGACCAGCCTGGGCTACAGAGTGAGATCCTGTCTCAAGCAAACAAACAACCAAAAGAATGATATCCTAGTACTTACAACAAAACACATAGAACTGGAAGATATTATGTCAAGTGAAATCAAACAGAGAAAGACAAATATACTTCATATGCTTTTGCATATGTAGATGCTTAAAAAATGTCAATGTGAATGTGGAATAGTTATTACTAGAGGGTGAGAAGGGTAGGGGGAGAGGATAGTGGGAAGTTACACAATGAGTACCGAAGCACGGTTAGATAGAAGTAATAAGTTCTACTGTTTCACAGAACAGTGGGTGACTATAGTTCACGATAACATGTATTTCATGAATAACCATAGGAGAAGAGTTCAAAGTAATGATTAGGAGATGGAAATGTTAATTACTTTGATTTGATCATT